TTTTTTCTTTTGTGTTCTAAGCAAGATGTTGAAGGACGCTCAAAATGGTTTGTCCTTGTTTCAATTCTTTGAAATCCTGTTGTTGCTCAGACATGAGACTGCAACTGTCTTGCATTGAAGAAAAGTGGATTTATTCTTTTGCATGACTATGAAACAGGAATTACAGCATAAGGTGATGAAAAGAAGCAACTGGTAAATTTTAAAGCTGGGGTTTCTGCTTGTGTGGCACTTTACTTTTGAACATTTTGACTTGCAGCTAATGAAATCCCAACATAAACCATCGAAAGCCAGCACACTGAACCATTTTAAACGGGATTACTATAATGCTTCTTGTAGCCTACACAAATGACAGTTGTCCAGCAGACAATCCCACCCTCCCTAATCCTAAAGAGGTCATTTTAGAAGAAGCTGCCTGCTTAGAGTGCTCTCTCAAAGCATATTAGTGGGAAGTTGAGTGGAAGGAAAACATGTGGCACAATAGGGTTTAGATGTGATGTGTGTCCACACTGCCATATATATCATTATCTAGTTCCATAAACATTAAACATTAAAATAGTTGAGGTTCAGTTGGCAGAAAACCCGACAGAGAATATAAGAGTGAGATGAGACACCAACAGGCCGGACAGTGGTGATGAACTGGGCTTGTTTACTGCCTCAGTAGAGATGAGGTAGTAATGCTAAGCCATTATTCATGCTAAAAAGTGTCAAACAAATACTAATTTACATGAACTCTACAATGCATACATAATTTCCACATTAAAAATTTAAATTTCATTCCTGGTTTCCATTAGTACAATCAACACAATTAAGAAAAATATATCATTTTATATGTACAATAAGTGAGTTTCACTTTTTGAGGTCTAACACAGAAACCATGCAGCATTCCATTGATAATCTTATTAAAGTAAAACACCAAAGAGAAGACGTTTAGTTTTATCTTTTTTACTCTATTCACGGTGAAGGAGGACCTCTGCTCCCTCTGGCTGTAGAAGAAGCGCCTCTCTGATTCCTTACTACTGTCGGAGATACAGACTACCATGCATACTCATACTAACGCCTACAGCCAATCTCAAAATACTGGTGAATTAAACATGTCTTTTGACTGTTCAAGGAAGCTGAACAACTCTGCAGGAAAACAGATTAATTCAGGGATGCCAAAAATCCCCTGAAGATTGTTTTTTCAATTAGTTATAAGCCATTTTAAAATTTGAGTTGAAATGTTTTTCAGTTTATTCCCCAAATAGCAAAAATCTTTTATCTCTGGACAGCTGACAGCAGGTGGCAGAGCTGCAGCACAGAGGAGAGTTAGCAGAGAAATGAAAACTTATATATATATATATATATATATATA